TTTGCTAAAAGGAAACGTGAGGAAAATGTTTGATGATGAGACCAAGACCCACCTTGAGCAGCTAGAACTCATCGACGAATTACAGAAACTCGGGGTTTCGTATCATTTTGAGCGAGAAATTAAAAATATTTTGGTGAAGATTTATCATAAAAATGTAAGAGAGTACGAAGAGAAAGAAGATCTACATGCCACAACACTCAAATTTCGACTCCTTAGAGAACATGGTTTCAATGTCTCAGAAGGTTAGTATCGTAATCCTCATAATCGTTACAAAATGAGATTCTAATTTATATATATTTAAAATTCCTTATTAATAAAGAGGCCGTTTTTTTCCAGGCATTTTTGATGTGTTCATCAACCAAATAGAAGATGGTTCATTTGAGAGTGATGACATGACGAGTATCATCTCTCTCTATGAAGCATCGTATGTTGCGACGAAATGGGATACTAAATTGCTTAAAGTCATTAGGCCTTATGCAAACCAACAATTGAGAAAATTTGTTGATAGTGATGATCATGGCATTCACAATATTAAGGTTCTTGAGATGGCCGTCCAAGCGCTAGAGATGCCGTACCATTGGAGAATGAAAAGGCTAGAGACAAGACGGTACATAGATGCATACACAAAGAAACATGATGTCTTGATTGAATTCGCCAAGATCGATTTTAATATCGTACAAGCTGTCCATCAAGAAGAACTCAAAACTGTCTCAAGGTAATATTGACTAATACTGATTCACAACAAGATATATAGACGTTGTCTTCTTTCGTTTTCTCATTTTATATGTGGTGCGAAGCTGGTGGAAGGAGACAGGTTTGGGTAATCAACTCTACTTTGCAAGAGATAGAATCGTGGAGAATTATTTTTGGACTGTTGGACAAATCCAAGAGCCTCAATTTGGATATGTTCGACGAATAATGACTAAAATAAATGCACTTATTACAACCATCGATGACATCTACGATGTCTATGGCACTATTGATGAACTTCAACAATTCACTGCCATGGTTGAAAAGTAAGTGCTTAGTTTCTTCTTTTCTTGGTCGATTATAAAAAATTATTTGAACTTTATAGACTTTATAAGTTATATTTAACTATATGTTACAGTTGGAATGTAAAGAGCCTTGATGAACTTCCCGAGTACATGAAGTTGTGTTTTCTTGTTTTGTACAACGAAACTAATAGCATTGGATGTGATATTCTCAAAGATAAGAATATTAATGTGATCCGTTTCCTACAAAAATCAGTAAGTACTCTGTAATTCTACGTTTTTTGTTTGTTTGTCAAACGATATGCATTATATAAGTTTGAAAAAAACAACAAGAAGTTGTACCACTAGGAATAATGATGCACAAACACTAAACTGCATATATTGGTCATATATATAATTGTCCAGTTTTTTAATAGATATTCTAATTCATACTTTTTAAACTATCTTAAAATAAGTGGGCAGATTTATGTAAAGCATATCTAATTGAAGCCCAATGGCACACAAAAAAACACAAACCTAATGTTGAAGAGTACATGCGAAATGCTTGGATTTCAGTCTCAGCCCCAACTTCATTAGTACACTTCTACTGTATTTTCTGCGACCCAATCTCTAGTCAGGTATTAGAAACTTTGTCCCAACACCAACAACATGTTGTTCGATGCTCAGCCACCGTGCTTCGCCTAGCAAACGACCTTGGAACCTCACCGGTAAGTAATTAATGTTCTTTTAATTATTATTTTTCCATTGCATATACATTGTGATTAAACAATTTTTTTGTCACCTTTGTGCTTAAAATTTTATGAGTGTGAAAACTAATTGATATATATAATTAAATACAATTACAACATTAATGGGTCAATTACAAAAATACCACTTTTTGTGTGCACATTTACAAGAATGTCACTTAGGGGTGTCCATTTACAAAAATACCACT